ATGTTGCATGATAAGTTTAACCTTTTGAGTTGTCTCTTGTACCAAATCAAGTCCTAACAATACAGTTTCTCCTACTTCAGTCCAACATACAGGTGACCGACAAGGTCTTCCATATAAGGCTTCATAAGGTGCCATTTGAATGCTAGATTGATAGCTATTGTTGTAGGCGAATTCTACCAACACCAAATGATCTTCCCAACTTCCCCCAAAATTTAAAATACATGCTCTTAACATGTCCTCTAAAATTTGAATGGCTCTCTCTGACTGTCCATCAGTTTGGGGATGAAAAGCATTACTAAAATTTAGTTGCGTACCCAACGCTTTCTGTAAACTTTCCCAAAATTTGAAAGTAAACTTGGAATCTTGATCTGAAACAATTGAAATAGGAATCCCATGTAATCTTACTATCTCTCGAACGTAAAGCTTTCCAAGGTTTTCAGTGGACTCTGTTGTTTTGACTGGTACGCAACTAAATTTTAGTTGCTCTGGAAACATATTTTTCTCTTCTCTTTGAGATACATGGGATATGTGAAAGGTATAATTATATCATGTCATGGAAATTGGTCAGAGTTGTTGGAAAAGAGGGTAATGGAAATAGTCTTTTGTGTAGTTGAGTCTAACTCTTGTCTGGTATCAGGTCTCAGGGATTCCATAATGCACATGATTTTTATTGGGTAATTCGGGACTAGCGAAAAGGAGTTAGAAAAGATGACTAACAAAAGAGGAATTATGGGATGATTGAAATGAGTGTTAGTTCATATAAATGGGTATTCGGGACCAAGTGGTATAAGCATGGTATGGGACGTGCAGGTCTGGTTGTCCAGTTATATGAATTAACGAGATACATTGGCGATGTTTTAAATAGTTACATTGTCGTGAGATACATGAGATATGTGAAAGGCATAATCATATCATGTCATGGAAATTGGTCGGAGTTGTTGGAAAAGAGAGTAATGGAAATGGTCTTTTGTGTAGTTGAATCTAACTCTTGGAAGGTACCAAGTCTCAGGGATCTCACAGTGCACACGGTTTTTATTGGGTGATTCAGGACTGGCAAAAGGGAGTTCGACAAGATGACTAACAAAAGGGGAATTATGGGATGATTGAGATGGGTGTTAGTTCATATAAATGGGCATTCAGGACCAAGTGGTATAAGCATGGTATGAGATGTGCAGGTTTGCTTGTCCAGTTATATGAATTAACAGGAGTAGATGAAGAGCATTCGTTCATGCATTATTATTAATAATGTGATATTTGGTTGTATGATTGTATGTTACTTAATTTAGTTATATCAATCTATTGTGGTAAGGTCTCATGTCCCTACTGAGCTGTGGTTGCTCACCCCTCACCTTGTTTAATTTTTCAGATGAATTAGTGGGCTTGAAAATGACTAAACCAATTGAGGCTGAGTTAGATGAAAGTGATAGAGCTTTATATATAGTAAAGGATTGATCGATTTTGGATCTATTTTTATAAGAGAAGTTTATTTCAAAAGGCGGTAACCAAATGATTCCCAAAATAAATAAATCTTTTATTTTATTTTATTTTTTATTTTTTTTCACGCACCGGGCACGAGGTTTTCACTGACCCCAGGGCATGATAGAATGGTATCAGAGCATAGGGATTGACAACCTTGGGAACTGTGGCACAAGATTGTGAGCATATAGGTTCGAATTTAAAAAAGTTAATGACAAAGATCTTTAGGAGTAGATTTTCTTAATTTAGTGTTAGTAAATTTCGAGGACGAAATTTCTTTTAAGGAGGGTAGATTGTGAAGACCCATATTTTTAAAAATATATGAAGAATAAATATTTTGATGCCTATTTAGTTATATATATTTAAATTAGTATGTTGGAGGTGGTTTTTTTCCTTTAAATTAGTTGATGCATTACCATGCATTTGGACAGCTCATGCTTACAATTTGGTGACTAGGCTTTATCTTAGCTTGAGGAGGGGTTTATAAGTTCAATAGGTGGCATAGCATTTGGAAATATATTTCCTGGCATTGACACATATCAGCTTATATAAAAGAGTAGCAACCAAGTTATCTTTTAAGATAAGATAATGGCCTTTGTTATTATCCTCTCCGTTGTTACCGTCATCTCATCACCTATAAATAGGAGTGTTAATAAGGAAGAGATATCATGCAATGTGTGTGTGAGAGAGAGAGAGAGAGAGAGAGAGAGAGAGAGAGAGAGAGAGAGAGAGAGAGATGATGATGAAATTCTTGGAGGAGGTATAGGACTTAGCTTGTGTTTTCTTAACTTGGAGCTACCTTTGGAAACAAGGTAGCGATTTCTTGGAGGCTTTTACATGGATTGTTCTAATTAAATTTCATGAGCTCTATATTATATGTGATATTGTATAATGTTCTTGATAGGATATTTACGTATTGTGAACTATTTGAATAATGTTGGCATAATTATATCATGTCATGGTTGGAGTTGTTGGATTGAGAAAATAATGATGGAAAAGAGGGTAATGGAAATATTCTTTTGTATAGTTGAGTCTAACTCTTTGCAGGCACCAGGTCTCAGGGATCCCACAGTGCACATGGTTTTCATTGGGTGATTCGGGACTGGCGAAAGGGAGTTAGACAAGATGACTAACAAAAGGGGAATTACGGGATGATTGAAATCAGTGTTAGTTCATATAAATGGGCATTCGGGACCAAGTGGTATAAGCATGGTATGGGACGTGCAGGTCTGCTTGTCCAGTTATATGAATTAACAAGAGTAGATGAAGGGCATTCGTTCATGCATTATTATTAATAATGTGATATTTTGATTGTGTGATTGCATATCACTTAATTTAGTTTTATCATTCTACTATGGTAAGGTCTCATGTCCCTATTGAGCAGTGGTTGCTCGGTGAAAACCCCACGCCCGATGTGTGAAAAAAAATATAAAAATAATAATAAAAAGAAGATGAAACATGGTTTTAATTGTAAAGTTGTAAGATTTTGGATCTATTTTTATAAGAGATGTTTATTTTAAAACCATGTTTCATCCTAGCTCCGCCTTTTACAAAAATCAAATCCGTACATGAAACCTAATCTCAAAAACGGGGGCGGAGGTGTGCTTAGGCCTGCAAGGGCCTTGGCCCTCCCAAAATTCTGAAATAACATATATATTGCCTTTGCATTGTACAACTTAGGACAATATATATATTAAATTAATGCTTGTGGCCCCCCACAACAAAAAGAAAGAGGGATTTACATTTCCCCCTCCAACTAAAAGACTCTTTCCTTAGCAATATGGCAAAGTTACTCCTAGATTCTACCAATAAAAATTAAAAGAAACAGCCAATCAAATCTTTCTTTCACAAGTATATTTAAGAAAATATGAAATTTAAGATAATCGGTTATTTATTTATTTACAAGCTTAACACTGGGAAAGAAATCAACCTTAAACCCTAATATATTGGCCCCTCCACACATAAAATCTTGGCTCCGCCACTGCTCAAAAACATGATGCATGACCAGGATTACATCACTTATAAGCAAAGTCTTAAATATCGATATTATCGCGATATGAAACTGAAAAATAAATTAAAATTGTTGAGAAATGGCGGTTTTGCGCCCAAGGGGACTCGAACCCCTCTCTCTCTAATCCTCCTACTAAGCCTTATCCAACCTGTTGCGGACGAGTTTGTTAATAAAGCTACGATGTGTAATATTTATATGGTCTTTAAAATTTATGCAAGCTAATATTATCTAGGATAAATTTCCATTAAAAAAAAATCCCTAATGATAAATTTAGGCATATGTTTAATGTTATTTATTATTTTATTATGAAGTTGTATTTTTTTGTTTTTGGTTATATATTATGGAGTTGTATTATTATTCACTATTGAGTTTTAATATTGTTCATTATATGTGATATTAAGTTTTAACGAATTCTTTCTATGTGGTACTAATTACTCATATATTTTATTTTTGTTTTTTTTTCCAAGCTCATATATATTATCATATGTAATATATTGTAGTAAATTATTATAACTAAAAAATTATGGTGTGTTTAATTTTCTTTCACTAATTACTACATATTTTCTAAAGACAGTATTTGTCAAGTCGCTACATAATCAACTTAAATCATTCAAACCCACCATGCCATGCATTTTATTCCAATTTTTTGTGATAAAATAATAGACAATTGACTAAATAAACATCCTCTAAAGTTACAATAAAAATTTCCAAGTTTTTTCTCACAATTTCAGTGATATTTTCATCGATACATCCGTGTTTTTGGACCATCGATATTTCCGAAACTCTCGATATTTTAGACCTTGCTTATAAGTGCTCAAGTTCTACATTTCCTAGTATTCCAAACGTAGAAGATAAATGCTTCATTGACTTGCTCTCGCTCTTAATTATTTAAACCCTCTAGCTCCTCATACTTGGCTTACTTGATTTCTTCAAGCTACCTAGTATGCCATCAATTAGCTTGTCCTTGTTATCACCAGAGTCTGGAACAAAAGAGTTGTTCTTTTGAGGCCTTTGCTTCCGGGCATGGTTTCCCAAAGAAGCACCACTCATGGTGCCAACTCCAGATGAAACAGATAGCTTAGAAACATTTGTGGAATCAACCAACCCCTCAAAATTCTCTGACATGTCCTTGCTACTTCCACCATCCTTACCGCTGTACCACGAGTCAAGGATCTGCAATAGGGAGCTATCTTCCTTGCTCACTCTGGCTGCGCCTTCTCCTTCTGATTCAGTTAATGGCGAAGTCTCTCCTTCTGAATCTGACAAGTCATCTAAGAGGGACGGTTCATAATCAAAACCTCTTGATCCTATTGCCTTCCTCCTTGATGCTACTTCCACTTCGTTTTTGTTCGATGTGTTGGTGACAGGGCCCAGCTCTTCCCAGGGCGAGTCGCTAACATCATCCTTGCTTGACACATCAGATAATTCACTATCTGAATTAGCCACTGTACGACTGAGAGTATGTTTTTGGATATTGGGAATAGAAGTGTCCATAGCAAACATTTTTGGAGTCTTACAAGCAGGCTAGTTTAACTCCAGGCATCGTTTGCAACAGGGATGCCAACTTTTGATAACCAAGCATAGGCAAATCAAGGTGGTAGCCGTATCTATCGAGAAACAACTTTCGGAATAAGGCCATGTTATATCCTTCTGGGTACTCCTTCAATATCTCATTTACAAGCTTTTGACAGTCTGCTATTATCTCACTTCTACAACCGTCGGAGGGTTTCTTTTTAATGGCAGGTAGTGAAACTCCACTGTGAGGAATATTCCGACATTTTTCCTCTCCATCATGCTCTGGTGATCTCTGTATGTCATGCAGTGATGGTTTATTCAAAAAGATGGATCTCAACCTATTTGTAACATTAGAATGATCTAGAGAACTCTTTCCATCACAATGGGTGAGTTTGAATGGCGACGTCTGGGAGGGGTTTCCTTCCACCCATTTCTTTTCTGATGTTAACAAATCTACCAAGCGAACGAGATCACCTTTGTGGAGAGATCTAAGAAACAAAGGTCCTTCCTTTTGAAGATTCAGTGCCATATGTTCCCTGTAACAATTGAAGTCACAAGGATAACATTACGATACAAGTTTAATAGCAACTTCCTATGAAATCAAGTTTAAACAATACTATCAAAGAATATCAGCAAAAGAATCAATTTGGGTTCAACTGTTACCAATGACCGGATATTTGAACATCAACTTCAGTATGAGCAAGGATCATTGAGAACTGTTTAAAACTACAGGAGTGTGAAAAGTAATTTGAAAACAATATGGGCGTTTAAAAGAACCTAACTTCAGGTTTCTCATACTTTTCGCAATCTCGAAATGGACTGATCAACCTTGTATCCTCAATGAAAGACTACACCCATAATTAAATTCTATTGGACCTCCTTGATGCAATTCATTTAACTCAACTTCAAAATTTTCTGCCTTGTGGACAAATTCAGAATGGATCCTTTTTTCCTTCTTGATTTTTAATTTGAAGAAATTATCTCAGTTATTTTCATTCCAACAGATTATAATACATCCAAGACTTTTGAAGGGTTGAACTTTCATACATACACATACATATAAGGAAATTTTATCTTTCCAAACTTACAATTTGAAATTTGATTTCAGTCTAACAAAATACGGGCCAGATATCTAGCAAGAGAACATTACCCAATGTACGCACACATGCATGCATACATACAGCAACATATATATGTATTAAATTACAAAATTAAGGACCTAAAGAGCCAGACAAAAAATCAAGAAACAACTTAGAGAATCCCTAGTTCTAGAGTTGGACAGAATTATCTGTGACAAAAAAAAAAAGGAAGCTGGGATCGCTTTTTTTAATCATAAAAAGAATTCCATAACACAGAGAAACACAAACGTGAAGAGTAGAACTGGGCATGTGTATGTGTTTGCATAATTCACAAAAAAGAAGAGAATAAAAACGGTAAATGCAACCTGGTCCTCGATTCGGAAACAATAACTGATCCTTTAGGTGTGTCCATGAAAGATTCCATGCCGCCCCAAAATGAATCCGTCAAAAAGAGCATGTGTTCCTGAGAGTGAGTGTTCATCAGGGTTGGTCTGTCACAGGATTGATCACTCAATTTATCAGAGCTTGGGATACTTCTCCGGAATTTACACCAGTTTACTATCTGACCAAAAATCCCTTGACTTGTTCTTGTCGCAGTTTCGTTGTCCTTATCTGATTCATTATAGGATGAAGAAGATGAAGTAGGAGGTGCTTGATCAACAACTTGACTCGTTGATCCCACAGACTTTTCCTTGTCTTTTCTTTGTCTAGAGTTACCAACAGAAGTACACTGTTTCACTGGGGTGTCATCTTCTTCCTTCTCAGTGACATTATCAGAAGTGTAATGTTTTTCCGGACTGTCATGACTTCTAGTCCCTGAAACATTATCACTACAGCCAAACCATTTTCTCCAAATCCTCTTAAAATAACCCACCTCAGATGCAGAATCTTGTGCAACCGCCGGAGGAAAATGAGGCTCAGTATCTAAATTTTTAGCCACTTTGACAAACTTCTCATCCATGGGCACTGAAGCCTTCACATTATCAGGGGAAGGAGTGGACAGTGACTTCTCATCAAGCGGAGAAAGATGTGGTTTTGCTGAAGACTTCACATTCTCAGGGGAAGGAGCCAATAGTGACTTCCCATCTGACTTAGGGGAAAAAGGCAATTGCAATTCTATAGGGTCTCCCACATTTGGTTCATGGGATGTAGGTGATGACAACTTTCCATTTGTACTTATATTAATAGATTTGTCTTCATAATCTAACTGTGAAGCTAAACTGAGATCCCAGCCTCCATTATCACCACTGGACTCTGTGGACATACCTACATTGGACTGACATGGTTCAGATGATTTTGTGCTTCCGCCATGTACAAGAAAGTTTCCATCACCTACTGATTGGAGCTTTAAAATATGGGGCATTGATAAAAGAAAGCGGGAAAACTTTTTATACCCATAGAAGTCTCTATCTAAACTCATATTACATTTTCCAAGCTCCATGCGAAGGTCTGTAGTGGAGATTCCTTTAGGATGTGAGTTCAATATCTGACGAATTTGCTTCATGACCGTATTTGGAATTGGACGAGGCTTAGATTCTGAACCAGGTTCAGACAACTTCTCAGTCTGTGAACATGCTGGCTGCTCAATGACCGAGTATGGGTCTTCAAGAGGCACCTTGTAATGGCCATACCAAGAACCATAGGGACCATCAGGTGGTTGGTTAAAATACTTTCCAGTGAGGTTTTCACCTGTAAGCAAAGCATGCCATGGCCACATGATACTTGCAGCACTACAGAGGACACCAGGAGCATTTTCTGGACTTGCTAGCAATATATTGTAGTTGTTTAATCTTAGCCTGTGCAAAATGGTAGCAAAATCCCTGTCACCCGAAATTAAGAAAAGATGTGCTGGTGGGGGATTTTGAGAAACCCAATGCATAAGATCTACAAGAAGAGACCTATCAGCACTGTTCTTTCCACCTGCACTAACAAAAACATGTGCAATATAATATGGTTAGGATACAAGAAAAAAGTTGTATAATTGAATGTATGTCTATGCGCACAGACATACATGGGAATGCCATGTTAAACACATTTCAAGTTGAAATTTTATTTTGAACAGAAAATCCAGTAGTGAACTTTACTTCAGAAGGTACATTAAGCATTTACCACCAGTATGACATCTTGCATAAAATGATGACAGACATAAAACCATGGGTGAAAAACTTATATGTTTGGCATAAAACTTTTGTCATCAGATATGAAAGGAAAAGTACTCATGACCTGTATTCAATATCTGGAATTTTATTGAAACTATTAGTAGATAAAACACCTTCTTTACTAAGAACAACAGCATGAGAAATTTTCTTCCTTACTTCAATTGCAAGTCACATATCTTAAAATGTTCTCTCCAATAAACAAGCAATGACTAACTTTGAATACAAACGAGCTCAAAGATAAAAGCAAAAAATTAAATAATCCGTCATGTACAAGGATCCTAGATTTATATTCAGCATATTATAGTATAGCCTACTGTCCAAAAGAGTTGCATGCGGATCAAAGGCAATAGTTGCAACACTTAAAAGAGGTCATATACTTCAGACCCTTAACCAAATTCATGTATAATAGAATACCAGTATTAGTTGACAATCTCAAAATTAACAATATGTTTGATATTTGACAACCTCAAGATCTGCAACGGTTAAATATAGCTATTCTTCATACTGGCAAATACAAATACCCAAGTCCCCATTTGCGGACTTGAGAGAGAACCCTTGAGAAAACAAGCCTTGAACACTTCATTCATACAAAGGGGAGATTAAATTTGAACATCTATTAACTTTATTACATATTGTGATGTGAGCATCAAAAGGAAAAAGAAAATTATTGCTCCAATTGTGCAGCAATGCCAGGTCAATGCTACATTTATGCATTGTTAGACGGATAGCCATATCTAGATTTTTTCTTTTTTCCTTTAATGTTCTTTTGATTTCATAAATTTAGGGACTCATAGTTATTTTGGTTTCCCAATTAAGTCCTATTTTCTGTACTATGTTTGTGTACCTCCCCACCTGTTAAATAAAAGTGATAAAACTACATAGTGTTAGAAACCCCTTCTCACTCTCTGCTTGAATTATCTCAAGATGATAAAGAGGGCCGCACTGGGCCAAGAATAATTTTCTGTAGCTGTTCTATTAGGGCTTGGCCTCCCTGTAACCAGAAAATAAAAACATCCAATCATAGAGCACTAGAGGCTACTATTACATATATCTTATGCTATTGAATCTATATGTACTGGTTTGTTTCCTCGCTGGAGGTACAAATTTCTTTCATCCAAGTTATAGCAACCAGAATAAGTCAAAGTGGATTATCTCATTTTTGTTAGCCAACAAGAGACTCTAAACGCTTATGCTGTTAGGGACTAGGCAACCAATGTGCAACCACAAGTTTTGAAGATGAGACCTCAGCCTTCAACTTGCAAGCTAACAAAGTGCAGCCCCATTGGACATGTGGAGAAGCAGACAAAAGCAGACAGAGAAAAACATATAGATTTAGCCTCAGACTGCACCTTCCAAACTAACAAAGTGGGACTACAGTTTCAACTAGAGCTCTAATACCATGATAGACAGCCACTGGACCCTCAAAAAATTACACCTTTAACTGCTTAACTGCGTTCTCCTTTAGTGCTATGATTGGTCACTCTGTGCAGCCATAACATGTTTTTTTTTTTTTTTTTTTTTTTTTTTTTTTTTTTTTTTTCATAATACTGTATATAACCTTATCATCCTTGAAAGACCAGATACACAACTGCAGTCACCCAGTTACTTTATATACAATTTTCTCACGCATTCTTCCACTTAATCAACCCCTATCACACCACTTGCACTCACACGATACAATTACAGATGTACACGTATGAGTATAGGTTACTTTATTTCAGCACTGCACCACATAATTCCCAACTTCAATTCATTTGCAGTAACTTTTAAGTTGTAATTAAATAATTCACAAAAGGAAAAATGAGACTAACCGTGAGGAACGTGAGTAAGATTGACCCCGGTAGACGACAAGGCCTCCTGGTTGGCCCTTGATAGCTGCAACATGTCCCCGAAAGCCGTGATCTGAATGGGGCCCTTTATCCCACTGGTCCTGATAGCCGTGGTGATCGCATGTGATACCTTGAACACGTTGACGCCGGCCGGCAAATGGCAGTTCTCAAAGTCCCACCAAACCAAAATCCTCACGTTCCGAACCTCCTCATCGTGGCGTCTGAAAGAAGAGTGACTGTGAAAATGGTGAGCTGACGAAGAGGTCGAAAAGTGAGAAATCTGAAGAAAAGGAGGAGGAGGAGATAGCGAGGAGGAAGAGAAGTGGTAGAGGGTTCTTGGAGAGATGGGTCTCATGGTGGGTGGGATGAGAATTAGGGTTAAGATTAGGCGAAGGGTTTTGGGGTGGAAATGACTGAAATGAGAAATGGGTTCTATCATTTCATGGTGATTATTTGGATTCGGGAGTTGGGAAGAAAAAATTTGAAGGTTCACTGAGAGTGAGGGTTTTAGGGTGGAAGAGGAAGGCGATCTAAAACCTCTTGGCACGTGCTATGCACATGGTTGGGCTCTAAAACGATTGCGTGTCACGGGCCGCATGTTCATATATTGTTCTGAGTTTGAACACAACAAAAGCTCGGCCATATGTTTCTTGTGTTGGGGCCCATCGTAATATAATTTTGGGCGGTGCCAAAAGGCCCAAACAACAACTTCCTCCCATACCGATTCCCTAAGGCATTCCTTTCATGATAACCCGTCCACGTGTTACTAGAATACGGTCACGTAATATAATTCATACACATGTTATAATATGGATAGATGATAGAGTTATAATTTTTCACTTTTAGGATATAATATCAACTTATATTATAACACATAAATGAGTTATACTACATATCAATACTATAGTGCCATAGTTACTCACATGATTGAATTGAGATTAACAATCCCAATTACATCTCATAACCGACTTCCAATTAAGCAAGCAAGCAAGAATCTCAAAGCTCCGAAAGGATGGAAACTCATATTATGATGTTGGAGTAATTGAGGGCCTATTTAGTATCCTATTAAAAAAAAGGAACTCAAAAATTTTGATTTATTTTTAAAACATGATTTTTTAAATACTAACTTTAAGATTTAAAAATATGTTTGGTATTGAACTCTAAACTATTTTTAAGATCTTAAAAAAATTGAAATTAAAATCAGAAATTCTAGATTCCCAAATTGAAATTAACAACAACAAAAAAATGAAAGAGGGAGGAGAGAGAGGAGAAAGGATAGAGGGATGCGTGCTGCCTGAGTTTACCAGGAAAGAAATCAAAACAACCTACAGTAATAGTAGCGAGGCATAAGAAAGCAAAGGCTAGCGTGGATAGGGAGAGAGAGAAAGAGACAGGAGAGGTAGGAGAGAGAGAGCGGGAGAGGGAGGAGAGTGAAAGAGACGCGAGAGAGAGAGTGCAAAAAAAAATTAAAAAAACCTCACTTTTTTTGTTTTTCATAATGGGGGTGTTTTTGAGTTTTTCTTGGGTTTGGGTTTTAAAAAATGGGGCGATCAAAAAGGTTTTTATGACTTTGGACTTAAAATCTGTTTTTTGAGTTTATAAAATTGGATCCAAATAGGATAACAAACGGCCCTGAGTTGCCACAGCAAACTCCATTTCAACCCTTTTTTGTTTGTTTTTGTCATAACAAACTTTCATAACAAGTGCAAGAAAAAGGGAAACAGCCCCCAACAAAAACAACGAAATACAGAGGGAACTTATTAGCACTCACAAGTTTGTGGATTGCATCGGTAGCCACCTAAACATGGATGCGCCTGCAAGCCATAAGAAATTCTTCATTGGCAGAAGCTGCCCGATCAATTACCAATCGAGGATCCGGCAGGATACCATAAAAAAGAAAAATAATAATTATAAAAAAAAAAAAGGTGCATATTGTCAAGCATCACGCAGATATTTACGATAATAAAACTAAAAAAAACTAATAAGTACATTCAAATTAGATAAGTCAGTGACATTGACATATTGGAATGAAATCGTGAGATTCGATTGAAATTTAAGTTCAATTACTTTTAAAACTAAACCACACAAAACATAGACATAAAAAATAAAAATGAATATTTACAAAAAAGAATGACCTCATTTTCAATCCAAGAGAAAATAAGGTATACGCTAAATGAGGAACTTTTTTTGGGTTCATTCATGAGATCTTGATCTTGCTCATTTCTAAATAAACAAAAAAAATTCATCTTATTTGCTTATATAAGTTTAACTAAGCTTTTAATTTTGCAGGAAGGGATGGGCTAATATTTGTGGGAATAGAGGGAGTTTATTAAAATTTGTACAAAGGTTTTTGTCTTTTTCCCACTTGCACTGGCCTATAGCCCTAATAGCCTAAGCGTAGTTCTGCCACTGTCTCCGCATAAAAGTAAAATAAAAGATTTTTGGCAAGGTAAACATCTTGCCAAATGGTCCTCAAAATCTGGTGGGAAGAGTGGGGATGATGGGAAATATCCCCAGGCATACAATGAAATTGATGATACCCTGATTTCATGTTAAAAGAGTCACACAATGTCCATGGCCAAACCACACGATCCAGCATCAGTGAGATGGTAATTGGAATGAATGTAAATATATTGTAGTCTCGCATTCCAAATATTGTCCCACATTGTCTAGCTTTCAATAGTGATTCTAAACATCCATAATTGATACTGCAATGTTCTCGATTTAAATGGTTTTCTCTCTTTAGGAGTTTGATATATGGGATTTTGATTTGATTTAAAATCAATTTCGATAATTTGGCAATTTAACCAAATTATCGAAATTGATTGACTTGATTAATATTTGATTTAAATCAAAGTCAATCACAGAAGATTCTTCTCCTTAATTTTATCTTCAATTTGAACCATTTGATGCACTTCATCGGATGTCGACACATGTCACTTCCTTTGACAACTAATCCAATTTTAATGAGTCATATGTCATGTGGGCGTTGTGGGGCTCATAATCCATTAAGCCTTAATTATTTTATTATTTAGCATAATTGAATTCGCCAAAATTCCTTTGTCTGCAATGATGTTCGCAAGTGCTTATTGGATTATGGGAGCGGTTTTTGCGTGGGTGGTTTATCCACCACCATTCTCCGTTTTAAGCATTGGTATGTCCTGTTACTAGTTACCCAATTCTCTCAATTGTGGATTTGCAGCGACGGGACGACAAGAGGGAAGTGGAGGTTTGGATGATTTGGATGTTTGCATTTGAGCCTGAACTATGCTAACTTTCTATTTTGATTTTTGTTAGGCCGAGGTTTGTACTAATTGATGATGCGCTACTGTGCAATATCCACAATTATGAATTTCATCCCCCAAAAGAGCAGGTGAGAATTTATATATGGGAATTAGATTTCACTTATGTGTTTAACAAAGATATAGAGATGTCCTTATTTAGGCCTGATACAACAATACAGATCCTAGAAATTAGCTATTTACCAAACATGGTTCCTAAACTATTGCAATCATATTTTCTAGACTAAGTAAATATCAATTACAAGAATCAATTACGACAATTATGTAGATGATGATGATCAAATATCTTAACACGCCTCCTCAAGTTGGTGAAGGGATATCATACACTCCTAACTTGCCAAATAGAAAAGAGAATGGTGCCTTTCCTAGTGGTTTCGTAAACAGGTCAGCCAGCTGCATCTTTGTGGGTGTGTACACTGTGGAAATTAGCCCAGAAACAAGATGTTGTCGCACTAGGTGGCAGTCGAGCTCAATATGTTTCGTTCTCTCGTTGAAGACAGGATTCCTAACAATATCTAGAGCCGATTGATTGTCACAATGAAGTGTTGTAGGTTCAGAATGTGGAACGTTCAAGTCCTTGAGTATGTATCTAAGCCACTTGAGTTCGCAACAAGCTTCTGGCCTAGTCATTATAAGGTATATGAGACGTTCGACCAAGCGGCAGTACCGAGTGGGATCATAAAGTAATTTTCCTTCGTTTGGCTTGAGTCTTAGGGTCTGTCCCATGCGGAAGGATGAAGGACGTGCTCTCAGCACACTTGTCTCATCAAGTAATTCAAGTAGGAGTGGTTGTGGTTCGGTAACAGCGAATTTTTGCCCAAACCTCAAACCGACTGACTATTTGCGGTATGGTGAGTTTTTAAACCGCAAAAAGCGGTCGGTTACCGTGAATTAGCAGTTTAAAACCGCAAGTTCTTTTTGTGTCATAACAATCCAATCTTCCACATTTTAGGCCTAATTTTGATGCTTCTTTTGAGGCCTTTTGATTTCAAGCATACTTTAACCCAAAAATATAAATTCACAACCTCAACTTCTCAAGCATATATAAATTCTCAACCTCCTCAACTTCTCAAGCATTCACAACCTAAAGAAAATTAAAGTTACAATTCCAAGCATTCCAATTAAAGTTAAACTTCTCAAGCATTCCAATTCCAAATCATTTAAAGTTACAAACCAAAAGGAACATGCAATGCAAAATGAATTAAGTTACAACCCAAAGGAAAAATCCAATTCAAAGTTAATTAAAGTTACAAACTAAAAGGAAAATGCAATACACCAATGTCACAAATTAAAGTTACAAACTCAAGTATTGGTGGTGGTGAGTGGATTTGAAGGACCCCATTGTGTTGTTTGAGCACCAATGCTATATACATACAAAATGCAATTTTTATTTATTTATAAATATAGTCACGGTTTGCGATAACCGCAAGTTTTGAAAATCAAATACCGCAACCGCAACCGCGAGAAGAAGAATTCAGACCTACAAAATGTGCTTGTGTTGGATTAACATCCTCCTTACCAACGACATCCATTATTTGCTTACACTGGTCAAGGGAGACGTGAGGCACTATGGGCTGAAGATGGTGAGTTGGTGGTTCTGAGCCCTGGATGTAGTTGGCAGAGAATTGTTGTTGAGTTCCAGTTTGGTTGAACTGATTGGTCCTCCCTTGATGTGAACGGGCGCTGCCATTGGATTGTGGTCGAGGGATAGGTGGCTCCCTACCATGCCACTTGTGTCCAAGAGGAAAACCTTCGAGGAAAAACATTTTTCTACATTGTGCGTGTCACCATTATAGTAAACACAGTGTCTGGGCTCTCGTTGATTGTTGTGCGACGCTCTGCCATTATTGTTGGGGTAAGGTGATCGATTTGAAGACATTTCCTTTGCTGTGTTATTCTTCCTGCTGTTGTTATTAGAAAGGCTGAGCATAGCCATGCTCTCGCTGGTATCGGTGGAAATGGTGGCGACTTGGCACTGTTTTTCATCTTGGAGGAGACTGTAGGCTTTCAGAGTAGTGGGCAACGGCGTCATGATCAATATGTTGCTTCGAGTGCTTCCATATGACTCATCGAGTCCCATCAAGAGTTCCATTAAAAGTTGCTATTCTGCACGATCCATAATTGATTTTGTAGCACCACAGGACTTCCCAGATGGACATGTATCGATTTGGTTGTGAGATGACAATTCA